CCCTTTGGGATCACAATGCTGCAAACCCCAATCCCCAGCTCTTTGGGATCACACTGCTGCTGTAAAACCCCAATCCCCAGCCCTTTGGGATCACAATGCTGCAAACCCCAATCTCCATCTCTTTGGGATCACATTGCTGCAAACCCCAATCCTCATCTCTTTGGGATCACACTGCTGCTATAAACCCCAATTCCCAGCCCTTTGGGATCACACTGCTGCTGTAAAACCCCAATTCCCAGCCCTCTCCACCTCTCCCCCCATCACCTCGGCAGGATTTGCTGGCTCAGCACGGCAGTTCCTGCCCCCTCCCCAGTGCTGACGGAGCAGCCGGGAGCAGAGAGATCCAGGAGAGGGAATCCCCTCTCCAGCATCCCCCTCCCATCCCGGCAGCTCGCTCCTCCTCGGGGGGCAGCCACGATGCAGCTCCGGATTTCCCAGGCTGCCTGCAAAGAGCCTTCCTCGCATTCCTGCCGTGCCTGCAGCGCTTCTCAAGTCCTGTTTTTCCACTCCAGCAGCCCCCCCTTCCTTGTTTTCCTTCTCCGGCTGCTGACCCAGATTTCATAATGAATGAATCCATGCAGCGCTCTTCAGACTTTAATTATTTTTTCACTTTTTCTCATCATAAATTATGCATCAATAATAAAGAAAAAAAAGAAAAAAAAAATCCACAAAAAAAAACCAACGCACCCCAGCAGAATTAATTTAAGGCTGAATGTTTCACTCCTGCCTATCGCTAATCGCAAACGGGCCTGGAAATTGCAGGGTTTATTTTAGACCTTGTGTTAATGTCAGAATGAAAACAAACAGGTTTTAGGAGGCTGCGGTGCCTCAGCAATGCCAACTCATGGATTTCTTCAGAAAAGAACCGAGCATAAAAAACCAACCACAAAAATTGGGGGTTTAAGGTATTTAAAGTGAGAACTCATCACGTAGCTGCCTCTTCCTCCCCTGCTCCTGACCACAAGTGAGAACTGCATGGTTTGGGCAGGAGAACAGTGGGGTGCAGGAGGGAAATGGGAACCAGGAGGGAAATGGGAACCAGGAGGGCAGTGGGATGAAGGAGAGGAAAGAGATACAGAACGGTGCAAAAGGAAAGAGATTGCAGAATGGCAGTGAGATGAAGGAGGGAAATGAGATGCAGGAATGAGGGCCAGGATGGCAGTGGGATGCAGGAGGGGAAAGGGATGAACAATAACAATGGGACACAGGAGGACAAGGGGATGAAGAATGGCAATGGGATGCTGAAAGGGAATGGGATGCAGGAGAGCAGCAGGGTTCAGAGAGGAATGGAGGCCAGGATGACAGTGGGACACAGGATGACAGTGGGACACAGGATGACAGTGGGACACAGGATGGCAGTGGGATGCAGGATCCCTGTGGGATGCAGGATCTCTATGGGATGCAGGATCCCTGTGAGGTGCAGGATCCCTGTGGGATGCAGGATCTCTATGAGGTGCAGGATCTCTATGGGGTGCAGGATCCCTGTGGGATTCAGGAAGGCCCAGGGCTGTGGGGCTGCCCCTGCCCTGCAGACACAGAGCTGATTAACACCCCAATCCCACAACAGCTGATTTCTGACACAAACACAGCAGTCTCCTCTCAGCAAAGAGGTCCCAGCAGATGAGGCACTAAACCACAAACCTAATTCCTGCCCTCCTCCCTGCTGCCAGTGGAAGGCTGGATTTCCCTGTGCCTCCTCTCTGCTCCTGCCAGCCCACAGCCATGCTGCTTCCAGTGAGCAGCTGCCCAGGGCACCAGGAGCTGGAAATGACACCAAAGGATGGTTCATTGGATCGGTGGAAAACCGAGGGGGTGACACAAAACAGGCCCTGCTGGAGCAGGCACAGAGGAGCACAAGCAGGACCAAAGGAAGCTCCCAAGGGATGTCACCTGGAGTTTGGGTGACACCCCACCAGCTCCTCCTGGCAGAGCTGGGACAACGGGGTGGCAACAACAAAGTTTCCCCATTTCCCAGGACTGCAGGGGCTTTGGAGGAAACCTCCCAGCTCACAACCAGCATGGTGACATTGCTTTCCTCAAGGGATAAAATTTTAATCCGGGGAAGTCCCTGAGCCAACCCTCCCTCGGGGTGGGCTTGGGGAAACACCACAGGCTCAGGGGCTCTGCCAGCTGTGCCCACACCAATCCCTTCCAGGTAGGGCCAGAAACACATCCCTGGCTGAAAACCAACTCTGCACCAATGGTGACCCTTCCAGCTGAAATTCCAGCCCTGCCACAGGCACAGGCAGTGCTGTCCTGGTTCAGGGGTGGTCAGGATCTGCCCATCCATGTGCCAAGCTCTTCCTGCAGCCCTGCCTACACAAGTCCCTTCAGAAAAACAAACAAACAAACAAAAAAAAACCCAACAAACCAACACAGGCAAACACAAAAGGCCCTAATTTGATCATATTCCTCTGAACTAAAAGCACCTTTGACCTAAATTTCCACGGCGGGCTGGAATTCACCCTGAGCCGGCAGTGGATTACGGGAGAGCAGAGCCGGGTGTGCAGATCCGGGACCCTGCTGCAGCCACCCCTGGGCTCTGCCTCCCTTCCCAGCACACGGGAAGGAGGGCAGGAACCCCCAGCCCACCCTAGCCAGGCCTACAAGAGCCTGGCTGTCTCAGTTTATGTAAAGTGGAGCTAATTTCACATTATCATATGATATTAGAGCAGCCTACCTCTCTCCTTCAGCCCATGTGCAAAATCCACGAGCGGAGCTATGAGGAGCATATGGAAAAACATCTCCAAGCACAAACATCCACCTACAGCGTGAGTTGTCGAAAGTCACAGAGCCATCCGAGAGAGGGGGATCACAAAAGAGGATTCAAGCAACAGCAAACAGTCTTGTGTATGTTTTTTTCCTCCCAAAAACACCCAGAGACTGAAGCTTTCCCTAAACAAATGCCTTGCATTTTTACTCCTGCTGGCAGTTTAAAGGCAGCTCGCTGGTTTTGTTATCAAGGTAACAGCCAGAATGATTCCTGCTCTGTCATTAGGAGCAGCTTTCCATCCCCTCCAAGCCAGCCAGGCTGCCAGAGGTGAGGAGAGGCTCTGACAGAGGCAGGAGGGTTTGGTGGGTGCTCGGGGAGACAGAGCTGACCACGAGCTGCTCCTGCATCCTCTGACTTTGTCAACACCTTTGCAAGAAATTTCCCGGAGAGGAGGGAGAAAGGAGATTACAAAGTGCTGACAAGCTCATGGGATGTTTTTGAGATGCCCCACAAGGCTCTGCTGAGGCTCCTGCAGGGCTGCATGGAGAGCAGGGATCCCCATGGCACAGTCCCTGCTGGGCTGCAGGGATGACACCATCAGGTCACGCTGGACTGAGTCACCTGAACCTACCCGTTCTCATCAATCATTCTGGCACGAGGAACAAGTAATCCTCAGGGAAAGCTGTTTTGGGAGGCTGCTGAATTGTTCTTGGCACTGCTTTGGGAGAGCTTCGATTCGTTAGAAAATCCCAAGCATTTTAATATCACCAGAATATTTACAGGATAAAGAGTCCTGCCATGAAATGGGACCTGGCCTCTGTGTCCCCCCCTCACAGGGACATTTCCCCTCTCTGCCTTTGTCATGTTGATGGAGAAGGATGCTGAGACCAGCCAGGGTCACCTGCACAGGGTGACAGAGCCATGGGGGCTGTCTTGACCCACCTTGTCTGGCCAGGAACTCCATCAGAGTGGGATGAGCAACCACACTGTGGGTCCCCAGCCTGGCCAAGCACCAAAATACCCCAATGCCATCAGAGCAGGGTGTTAATCCTCACTTTGACCCACACCTCTGTGCTGTGCCCTTTCCCAGTGCCAGCCAGGAGCAGCTCCAGCCCCTCCCAAAGTGTTGACTTTGGCTGTGGGCAGCCACATCTCTTCCTTGGGGCCACCTCACAGACTGTTTTTCCTTGGCCCAGGGAAAAATACCTAATTATTGCTTTTTCTTGCCTCTCCTTTCTTCTATTTTAAGATCACAGGCCTAAAATTAGATCTGCTTGCACAATGGGGCTCTGAGATTTAATCCCTTCCCCAAAAGCTGACAAAATAAGTTAACGTTTGAGTCATTTCTACAAACACCTCGGCCGCCAAAAGAAGTAAATAAACAAACAAACAGAAAGTGCACGGGGGCCAAACCACTCTGTCCAGAGGGATTTAAAAATAGCTGCACCTGCACCAAAGCATCTCCTGCACCCAGTGAGGAATCTGAGCTCCTGGAGGGCTCCTCTCCCTCTGCAAACCCTCCAGTGTGCTGTGGGCACAGGACACTGCTCAGATGCTGCTGCAGCTTCTGGGAAGAGCAGAAGAGGCAGCAGACACGGAGTCTGTGTGGGTGGTGGTTACCAGGAACATCGTGGCTTCAGCTGCCTCCCCCTAAAACGCTCACGGGGACAAAGAGATGCTCAGGTTCCAAAGTCTGTGGGTGCAGAGAGCTTGCAGAGAAAAACAGAGAAAGATTTATGGTGGGATCTGATCCTGCCGTGCCTGCAGCCCCTGGTGAGTGTTCACCACATCAGCAGGAGCAGAACCAGCCCTGGCTGGAGTCACAGCCCTGGTGTCAGCACACCTTGAGAGCTCCTGCACACCTCAGCCTGCCAGGTGGGGTAATCGCACCGACCTCGCTCACAGCAAAACAATTAGTTAATATCTGCAAAGTGCCCCGCACTTAATTAATTGCCATTAGCTCATTAGCCAGATTTTGTCCCCCTAAGCCCAGCTTTAAGCCCCGCCCTGCTAGGCAGGGGCTGGTGAGCTCAGCCAGCTCTGTGCATGCAGAGCCATGCCCAGCTGGCAGCACCAGCAGCGCCCCTCGGGTGCCATCCAGCTGTGCCACCCTGCTCACCCTCCCAGGGGTGGCTCTGGGGCCATCCCTGCGGGGATGTGGCCACCACACTGAGTGCAGGAGCTGCACTGGGGGCTGGAGCAATGGGAGCAAATTCCCATCTGGCACTGGATTAGTGCCATATGCTTCCCACGGGAATGTGTCTGCCTGCAGCTCGGCACGAGGGGGGTGCTCACCTTCCTCTGCACCCCAGCCCTCCCTGCCCATCCTCGCTGTGCTGAAACCTGCCTCAAAGCAGCAGAGTGAACATGCGACAATTTTATATCCATGTCCCCTCCCTGGTAAGAAATGTCCCTTCCAGCATCACCTGAGGCTGCACAAACACTGCTGGGTGGATGGAACACCCGAGGGCTGCAGCTGCATCCCCTTCCACATCCCCTTCTCCACCCTCAGGATAACACTGGCTCAAAGCACTGGGGGGGGAGTCTGGAGCCAGAGCTGCTCCCCCCACAGAGCCCACAAAGCCCTGCCCATCCTGCCTGGTGCTGTGGCACTCGCAGGGCTCAGACCCTGCAGGTCTCTCAGGGATGCTGCAGGAAACAACAAGCAGCACAGGCTGCTGGTCCCTGCTGGAAAATCACCTGCCACCCCTCTGCAGGAAACCCCAAAGATTTCACCCCAAAGAAATCCCTGCTGTGCCAGCAGCAAAACTCCTTCCCTTCACAAAAGCACCACGCTCCTTGCTGTGCACGGCCACCCTTCCCAAATGGCTTTCCATGGATAATCCCAGAGGGGCCATAGAGCAAGGTGGGCAGAGCCACCCCAAAACAGCTCCCAGGGATGCCCACAGAGGGCAGAGCTTAGCCCTGGCCACCCCACACGAACTCCCAGGGATGTTCACAGTGGACAGAACCCAGTTCTGGCCACCCCATACCAACTCCATGAGATACCCACAGTGGTCAGAGCCTAGCCCTGGCCATCCCAAAACAGGTCCCAGGGATGCCCATGATAGACAGAGCCCAGCCTTGTCCACCCTACACCAGCTCCCAGGGATGCCCATGATAGACAGAGCCCAGCCTTGTCCACCCTACACCAGCTCCCAGGGATGCCCACGCTGGTCAGAGCCCAGCCCTGGCCACCCCATGCCAGCTGTCCTGGCCACCCGCTGCGGGCCGGCAGCAGCCCCGGCACGCGAGCCCGCGGCTTCGGGAGCAGCCAACAACAACAAACTCGTGTGTGAGCCACAAAGGGAAAAACTCGGCGAGGAAACAATATTCAGCTCGACTCTTCCCGAGCCCGTACTGTAAATAACGCTGCAATGGGTTTGTTTTATTTGTTTTAATTATGAAAACACAGCCCGGATTGTCCTGCTGGCTTGGGCAGGCTCTGTCCCCGAGCAGGGGAAAGCAGTGACACCCTGCAGAGCCACTGTGGCCGGCAAGCCTGCAAATAAACAACGGGCCCACCACGCCCGTGCAGAGCTCCAGGCTGAGCCTTAGCCCTGCCAGGCTGAGCCCAGCCCAGGTGGCACACAGGGGACAGAGGTGGCAGCGTCCTGCCACAGCTCCACAGCTGGGAGGGAGGGAAAGGAGCCCCCAGAGACAGGAATATTGCACACTTCAGTGGCTGTTTCCAAGGCAATGGTGCCTGGGTCCATCAGTCCTGCATGCTGGGGCTACAAGCCTTTCCAAGGTACTCATCGTCCCTTTTCCTTATTTTCCACAATTATCTCAACACCATGGCTCACCCGTGTCTCCATCACTGCTGCCATTGTCCTGACACACCATTCCCGTTGCTCCACACTCCCACTGGGCGACTGGGCCAAGCAGGAGGCACCTTCTGCAATGGTTTGCATCAGAACAAACCTTTCCTTCTTTGCTTCCTCCTCCTGGGCCGGTCTGGGATGGAGGGTCCAGCCCTCAGCTCCCACCACATCCATCTCCCTGAACGGCCAGGCCAGGAGAAAGCCAAGCAGCCCTAAGCTGAGACAAGCTTCAGACACAACTGAGTTAAAAATATATCTTTTTTCAGACTAAAGTTCAGTCCCCAAATGGTCAGAGAATCCAGGAAAAATGTGGCAGGCCCGGCTGGTGGCCAGCTTCCAGCACGAGCACCTCCCTTCGGAGGAATCCAGCAAGGAGTCTGGACTAATCCACCCAGGACACACCAACATTTCTTCCTCATATTATTGGGTAGGGTGTTGTTTTGGTTTTTTTTTTTTCCTCTTTTTCATTTTTCCGTCTGCTCAGCAGATTTGGCATTTGCTGGAAGGCACCACAGCCAACAGGGATGGAGCAGGGGATGGAGGGACCCCTGGAATGCTGCCCCTGGCACCAGCCAGGGACTGCAGGTAGGAATGGCTGGAGAAGAAGGTAGCAGCTGGGAACACCAAATACACAAAATTATCCCTGTGCCTCAGTTTCCCTGCCCTCACAGACGTGCTGGGGGACAACACAGGCACTGCAGGGGAATGAAACAATCGAGGTGGCACTGCCAGCACCCAGCAGGATGGGTCCCCAAGGGTTCCTCCAACCCCAGTGAGGACTCAGGTCTCACCCCCCCAGACCATCCCCTTGCAATTCCCAAACCCCCCTCACCTCCCTCTCTGCCCAGCTCTGCCCCTGGTAAGGTCCCACATGTTTTCCAAGAGGATTTTTTCACCCACCACCCCACTGAGCACCAGGCACACTCCAGCAGCTCCACCGGGATGGTTCCCTTGTGCTGACTGGAGCTGCAGGATGGGGACAGGACACACACATCCACATCAGTGCCTCACTACTGGGAAGGAGCTGGGAGCTCACATTTGGTCCTGGAGGGCTCAGCACCAGCCTCTCCCCAGCCCCTGAGCAGGGAGGAGCTGCCACTTTCAGGCGATGCCCCCTGAGGAATTTGCACCTCATTCCTTGACACCCGCTTTAATTATAGGTATCGGGTCAGCTTCTGTCTTTCACAAGAGCTCTGAGCTAACTTCCTGCTGCCCTTTCTCTGCGAGGGGTTCCTGACTCACCAGATCCCTCCCTGCACAAGCAGAGAGGGGTGGGCTCTGCCAAAATTCCCCCCAAAGGCTGGAGCAGAAACTCCCAGCACTGAAGTTGTCAGCTGTGACATCCCAGGATGATCTTCAGAATCTGAGCCCTGGTTTCCTGCTGCCACCAAGAAGAGCGTCCAGGCAGCAGTGACACTGAGACATGATGGGTGTTGTCTCTAAAGAGCTCCCTGCACACAAGGATGCTCCATGCTCGCCCACCAGTCTGCACAAGCTCCTCCAACAGCAAAATGCTCCAAAACCCATCCCCAACAGCTCCTCCCGAGGCTGCAGCAGGGCTGTGACTGTGCCACTGCCCAGCAGGCTCTGCAGGGAGCAGGGACACCCCAATGCCAGCTTGGTTTTCCTGCCCAGCTGTTCCACAGAACCACTGCCCCATGCACCCATCCCTTCCTGATGGAGTTCTCTTTGCAGGGTTGTGGGTTTGAGTGTCGTTGTATTTTGAAACATAAACTCATTAATTTCAGCCTAATGAGGACTTTATTGGCCAGGGATTACCATTATTCAGCTCAAGGAGACACAAATAAACATTCACAAGCTGCCAGTCCATGAAAGGATCTCGATCCTACTGATCCCACCCCAAATCTCCATCCCCTCCTGGCCACACAGGTCATTCCACTGCCATCCACCTTTTCCCTCCCATTTCTAGATTTCCCTGTCCCACTCCACGGGCTGGGAACCCCACAGGGCTCAGGGAAGGGACCCTGGGCTCACAGCAGCCACACCACACCACTGTGTTTGCTTTAATTTTTAATCAAGTCACAAGACAGGGTGGATGCTGCTGGAAATAAATCATCAACCACAACAGCAATAAAAGCACCCTGGCAGCCTCAGCTCAGACGTGGCAAGCACAGGACCAGTGGCCAAGCCACCACTGTCCCATCACTGAGGGATGACAGAGCAGCTCCTGCACCAAGCCCGGGCACTGAGGTTGTCACTGAAGAAATTGTGGGGAAAGAAGGAAAGGGAAGGAAAAAGGAAAGGAAAGGAAAGGAAAGGAAAGGAAAGGAAAGGAAAGGAAAGGAAAGGAAAGGAAAGGAAAGGAAAGGAAAGGGGATGGGAATGGGAGGAAAGAAAAGGAAAGGAAAGGAAAGGAAAGGAAAGGAAAGGAAAGGAAAGGAAAGGAAAGGAAAGGAAAGGAAAGGAAA